CAAACAGTGACCCAACCACAGAAACATCTTGAAGAAAAGAAGATGTATAAGTTTTTGGTGAAGGGCGATTCCCCCACTCCTGCCATCTTGGTGCTCAGGAGCCCAAGATAGGCAGAACACAAGTTCAAGTCTAGCCGGGACTATCGAGTGAGAGGAGACCCTGTCTTGTGGGGTCCAGGGGAGAAATCTTCTAATCATCTACTCTCACCCCTAAAAGAAGGCGCTGTGCCCCTCTATCTTTGGGGGGAGACAGACGTAAGGCATATTAAATAGCTGGGCAGCCAAGAGACCCAGTACCCAGCAGCCCCCTCTCTCTTGCTTCTGTGAAACTGGGAGTTAGTTGGAGAGCTTGGGAGGAGGGGGCAGAGGATGGGCAGCCAGCTAGAGACCCCATGAGATTGACGTGGATTGCAGAGGTGCAGAGGAGACCCAGCATTGGGTGGAGTAGGGGTGAGGCTGGACCAGGGGTGAGGCTGGACCAGGGGTGAGGCTGGACTGGTGATCTGGCCCGGGCCCAGGGAGTCATCTTGACAGAGGACTTAGCGGAATGCTTGCCACACAGGCTCAAACTGCCATCTTAGATGCTAGCTACTAGGGCAGATGACCCTGCTTGTCCACCTGAATTAGGAACATTTTATCTGTGGTATTCTGGGCTTGGAAGACGCAAATGGAGGCAGAATCAATCACGAGTGGGGATCTAATCTCTCCTCTAAGCCCTCTGACCTAAAAGCCAGCCACAGAATGTACTGTTAGTGTCCCACCCTCCTGCCCAGTGGCCCGGTGGGGTGATCACCCCGCAGCCTTAAAGATTTATCTATCCCTAGGCAAGACTTCTGATAGCCAAGCTGGGCGGGGCGTGAAAGGCAGGACTTTAATGGAGCTTTTCTAGCCTCTGGCTACAAAAGGTTGTTATTGCTCTGCCGAGAAAGGAGACCAGGGCAGAAAACAGGAGGCTGTGACCAGGGTGGTAGTGGCCTGCCATGGGGGTTGGACTGAGCGTGGGGTTGGGGACCCTCTGGCTGGGCAGTTGGAGGGAACATTCAGAGTTGATGGCCGGAGCTCACTTTAATCCCCACAATGGCTCAAACTTTCACCTAATTTTCCAAAGTCTACTTTTCAGGTTAGCCGCTGACACAGAGCTGGCATTTCACACCTGCTCCTGGCATCTCCAATTTCATGTGTGGGGGGTGTGGGGGGTGTGGGAGTGTAAGTCACAGAGAGTGGAAAGCCAGCTGTCAGAGGATTTCTAGGCTCTTCTTTGGCTCAGGACATGGTGGAGTCGGGTACATGGGGACCGGGGAGGACAGTATTTAGTCTATTCCAGCGTGTTGCTTCTACTGGCCAGAGCCACTCTGTGCCCCGTCCGTCCTTCTCCCACAGGGTGCTTGTTGCTCAGTTCTCCAGGCCTTTTTTTGTTAGATCTCCACTGGAAAGCTCTGCCTAGACGTAATGAAGTTTCCTGTAGAAAATGGCCCAGAAGTTGGGTTTTTGTGTACCATGCCCATTAGGGGCTGCTTTAGGGAAAAAAATCCTGAATCCTTTTGGAACTACTGGTGTTTGCCATCTGATCACCATCGGGAGAGACGGTACAGACTGAATGAGACAAGTCTGGTTTACCACCTGAGAGCTGGTCCACCTCCAGACCAGCTATCTGGTCTCTCTGGGCCTGCATCTCTTCATCTGAAAGATGTGTTAATATTGGTGCCTGGCCTGCGGTCATGGACAGAGCTGAACAGGGAGCAAAGTGCATGTAGTATGCTCCCTCTGCTTCTGGTGCCATGTCGCGTGCTCAGGACACGAGAAACCCTCCGCTCCGAAGCTGTCTTATGCCACCTTTCAGCCAGCTTCCTCCCTGTTCAGCTTGGATGAAAGAGGTTGAAGCGTAGGCAAGAGATCACAAAGAAAATCATCACTGAGCCTGCAAAAGAGGAGAGTCCCTCGATGTCACCCATTTTCTTTCTGTCTTGGAGACAAGGTCTCCAAATACAGTCTAGACTGACCTTGGCCTTGAACTCCCTGTGTGATCCAGATTGCTCTGAAGCTTTTGTTTTATCTTTCTTTTTTTTTTTTCTTTTGAGACAGAGTCTCACTACATAGTATGACAAAACTCTACTTGGGGAGATGCTATACACAGGTCTGCTTACCCCAGACAGAGAATCCACGACAGACCAAAGTATAAATAGCACCAAAGCCCAACTTGGTGAACCAGTGAATTTTATTTTATTGGGATTACTTAGGAATATAGGTGAGGGGTTACTTACGAGAGCAGAAATGACTCAAAGACAGATGTATCACCAAGGTGCACCCCAGCATGACTGACCACTCACAAAGCTGGGAAGCTGGAGTACACTGCACAGCCTGCAGGCCACTCAGCAGGTTGGAGAGCGACCGGGTGCCTCAGTTGTTCTAAACTTCTTTCGGGCAGTTCCTCTGGCTTTTGTTTCTCCCAGGCAGCTGGGCTGGTCTTAGTCTTCTTTGAAGCACAGCTTTTATTGTTTACCCTGGCAGGGAGGGGTCTAGTGAATCTGGTCAGTTTCAGGGACTTCCTGAAGCTGTTTTGAGTTGCTTACCTTCCTTCCAGGAGCATCCCTGCAGGATGGACTGTTTCACAGTCCCTGCAGGAAACTGTTACACAAGACTAGCCTTCAACTCTCAATCCTCTCGTCTAACTCACAGTCTCGAGTGATAGGATTATAGGTGTGGGCCTCCACTAACTACCACCTTCTCCTGGGAGCTGCTGGGTCAGTGGCCAGCCAGTGCCCGCTTCCTCCCCAGGACAGCAGTCCACCCTGGCCTAAGCGAACTCAAGGCTTTGTGACACCCCTGTACAGGAGTGGTCCCAGCTCTTATACCCCCTCTTCTCAGCCCTGCCTTCCTTCCCAGGTAGGCACCCAACACTGACTATTCTTCTCCATGCTTGCACCTTGACCCAAAGCTGGTAAAGCAGTGTGCTATGGGACACTGGAGTCGACTTGGGCAGATCCCATGAGCAGCATGGACTGGTACGTGGCTGTCCTGTGTCACCTGGAGCTCTTCCTCAGGCTGACACTCACCAGGCTGACTGAGCTGTAACTCTGAAAGAATGCCAGTTGGATATATGGTTGAGTGGCTTTGAAGAGTCATCCGGAAAGTTTGCAGGCTCCCCATACCTGAACGGAATGGAACCCCATCTCACTAAATCAGGACATCTGAACACGAGAGTCAGGCACAGGGTTCTTTAAGTTGAGTGCCAGCCTGGGCTCTGGGAGATCCTGTTTTAAAAAGGGGTGGGGTGGGATGGCGGGTTGTGGATGGGGCTCAGTTGATAGTATTTTGCCTTCCGTGCAGGAGACCCTGGGTTTGATTCTCAGCACCACATAAATTGAGCATGGTTGTGCACATCTGCAATTCTGGCACTTGGGAAGTGGAGGAGGGATGATTAGTAGTTCAGGGTCATCCTCAGCTACAGGGTGAGTTCAGGACCAGCCTGGCCTACATGAGACCCATTTTAAAAACAAGCAGTGTGAATCTGTTGTTCTCCCTTTGCTGACTGTGTTTTGGTGCTGGGGACTAAAGCCAGGGCCTTTGGCATGCTGCCGCCTGAGCCTTACACCCCGCCCTGCCCCCCCCCCAGGCCCCAATGTGCTGTAAGCAGCGTTTATACTTTGGGCCTAAATTTATATGCCCTCCACATAGGAACTCTAACTCCTAATGCACACAGTGAGTAACGTTCCTTGTCACTCCGAGCCCTACATATATCCACTGTGTGTATACAGCCACCGAGCACAGTAATGCAGGCATGCTACCACCCCAGTCTCTCTCTGGCTGCTTATCTGTCAGCCCTCTTGGCGGCTCCCTCCCCCATGTTATCTCTGTCCAAGCTCTCTGTCCCCCTGTCTGAATGTCCAAAAGCAGGGGAAGGAATGAGTCACATCCCAAGCAGCCTGCTGTGGGGCTGGCCACAAGGGGAAGATGGGGTTGCAAGATATGGAAAAAAGTCATGTGTGACTGCACCAGGGTGGTGGGGAGGTAGGAGGAGAAGGACCCCCACTCCAAAAGTGAGGAAGCAAAGGGTCCGTTAGGCTGGAACCTCGGAGGGAATGCCGATATCAAGAGCCACACAGTGCCGTGGCTCAGCTCAGGGCTACTCCAAGGGGTCAAGAACCCCAGGGAGATTAGAAACTTGCTTTCTGTCCTGGGTACCAATGGGTAAGTGGAAGCCAGAGGAGAGAAGCATCCAGAAAGCATCAGATTCCCTGTCCCGGGATCAAAGGTGGGGTTCCTGTGGGATGTAGTCAGGATCTGCAGTGTTTACATGGACACTGTCCCAAGAGAATGTCACATCACACACATGTAGAACAAGAAGAGAAGGTTTTAAGGTCCTAAATCCTACCCTGTCTGTGCTGGGTCCTCTATGGTTTGGCTCGGAAGACATGTAATAGATTAGAAATCTCTGGTAGCAGAGGACAGTTTAAAAAAAAAAAAAAAAGCACTTTTGTGGTTTGGGTATGTGTATGCACAGGGGTTGGGTATATGCATGTGTGTGTGTGTTCCTGTGTGTACAGATGCATGTTGGAAGCCAAAGGCTGACATCAAGTGTCTTCCTCACTTTCCACCCTATGGTTTTGAATCAGGGTTCTCTCACTGAACCTGGAGCTCCTGGATTCAGCGAGAGGAGCTGGCCAGTGAGCTCCGGGGATTCTCTTCCTGCCCAGCACTAACACAGGTAGGTAGGTGTGTGCAGTCATGCTCTTTCCACAGGTATTGGGGGTCTGAACTCAGGCCCTGACGCCTGCATGGCGGGCAGTTTACCAACCGAACCATCACTCTGCTCCCCAAAAGTGCTTCCTGAGAACTTTTAGAGCCCAGAGCATTTTCTCAGGAGTTTGCAGGAAGTAAAGAGACCAGGCTGTGTATGTGGGGCTCTTGGGTCCAGTTCTCGTCCTCCTTCCATATCTGATGAACTCCTCCTTGGGTCAGGGTACAAAGTCTTTTTTTTTTTTTTAAGATTTATTTTATTTATTATATAACTGTGTTCTTTCTGCAAGTTTGCCTGTACTCCAGAAGAAGAGATCAGATCTCACGACCTCTGGAAGAGCAGTCAGTGCTCTTAACTTCTGAGCCATCTCTCCAGCCCCCTGGATACCAAGTCTTGGCTGTGGTTCAAGTGTGCTCCCTGGCCTATGGCTGACATCTCCCATCCCTGATGGAGATGCTGTGTCCAGATGGAGTCTTTATCCTGACTCCTGGTGAAGACCACCACCTGGAGCTGATAGTGTAGCCTGCTGCAGAGGGAAAAGGGGGAATTAGAGCAGGCTTTCTCTTTGGGCTGCCAACCAGCTCCCAAATATAAACACAGACTTATTAATTATGAGTACTCGGCCTTAGCTTAGGCTTGTTTCTAGCTAGCTCTTTTTTTTCTTTTTAACTTAAATTAACCCATTTCTATTAACCTATGTACTGCTTGTTTAGCTTATCTACATATTGTCCATCCTGCTTTCTTGCTTCCTCAGTATCTGGCTGGCTGGTCCCTGGTTGCCTACCAGGGCATTGTCTGCCTGCCAGCCCCAGCTATCCCTCCTCTGCCTAGCTATAGACTGGTCAGCTTTTTATTAGACCGCTCATGTGCCTTCGGCAGGCAAGGGGAAACAGTAACACATCTTTACTAGCTAAACAAAGGCAGCATAAACAAAAGCAATGCATCTTTACATAATTAAACAAATGCAGCATAAAAAATGCAACACATCTTTACATAGTTAGACAGTTCTTCTGCAACACAAACAAATACAGCACATCTTTACTTAGTTAAACAAACAAATATTCTATTCCACAACAGGGGATGGGTGGAATTTGTTCTTGGACTCCTCAGTCTGCAGAGTAGTGGGTAAGCTTGCACAGACACCTACCTACTCCACAGGCAGGCAGGCAGGCAGATGACCCAGCCTGGCGATGCAGACTCTATGGGAATGTGGCATCCTGCGTTCAACAATCACTCTGCTCACACATGTGGTCTTAATTTGTCTGCACTACTGCATCCTGAGGCACATTTGCCTCCATCCTGCAGATGCACAGACTGAGCTTGGAAGTGACATTGGTGACAAGACCAGACAGCTGGTAGTGACTCAGGATTAGCTCCCAGAGATCCTTGTACCACACTCCGACTGACTGGGCTGCTCTGGCCCTCTGAGTGGGTTCCTTTGAGAAGGATGAGACACACTGTGGAGGGGCAGAAGGAGTGTGGGAGAACCCTAGTGCACAGGAAATCACAAACACCTGTTTATTTGCAGTTGGTGTGGGCCCCGTTCCCCCAAACTCATAATTCCCGGGGAATCCAGGGTTGATCCCTCAGCAGTGCCCTGGGTGGCTCTGGAGGGTGAAAGGCCAGGCTGGGTAGGTCCCAAATACTGCCAGTCACTCTGTCTTAGCCTCTGTGAGCCTGGGCTCCATGCCTGTGGCTCTCCAGGGCAGAGTAACTGAGGGGGTCTGCAGAACAAGGGACCTATGAGACGCGTATGTAATTCCAACTTTTTTTCTTTCTGCACCAGGGACCAATTCATCACTGGGAGCTTCGGTCCTTTAAATTGGCAAATGTTTACTTACCTGTCACTGGGGATTCGGATGAAGGGCAGGGGATGAAGGAGGCTGGACTCTAAGTGAGAGGGAAGTGTGGCGCCCCGTGTCAGGAGCCCTGAGTCAGCTAGACAGTGGGGAGCAGCTGATCCACATAAAGCCTCACATTGTTCCCCCGGGCCAGTCAGGATGGTGGTGACCTTTGGGATTTTTGGCTGACAGAGCATGAGGGGCTCTTGGGAAGGCTGGGAACTGGCAGTGAGGGGCACGGGTGCAGGGTGGTAGTTGTACTAACCCTATGACAAGAAGCCTCTGTCCACCACGTCCGTGTGCACAGACAGTAGGGATGCCTGCGTCTCCTGTAGCTTCCATCCCAGCTCTGGGTTGAGTGCATCCACACCTACTCCTGGTGAAGAGCTAGACAGAGCTGCAGAGGGGTTCCTGAATCTGCCCTCCCTCCCCTGCCCCAGCCTAGGAAATCTGGCCCCTGTCTCGTCATGAAGCAGTCCCAGCCAGGAGCTGAGGAATAAATATTTAGATTGGCTCAGCCTGGGCCCCAGAGTCACGCGCTCTGGTGATGAGGAGACAGGGATAGCAGAACACAGTCCCAGAAGGCAGGGAGCCCCGACCGTCCAGTAGCTAGCAGAGGTGGGGTGAGGACTGCTTTGTGAAGGCCCTGGAGCAGTGGCCAGTCACACACACACACACACACACACACACACACACACACACACACAAACACACACACAACCGTTCTGCTCCCATGGGATGGGGTGGGGCGGGGCTTAGTTCTCAACTGGACTGTAGTGGGAAGTGATGAGGAGGGATGTCCTGAGAGCACTGGGAGCCTGGAGCTGGAATCTGGGAGCCTGGAAGACTGAGGGGAGCTGAGGTGATGGTGTGTGACTGAGAACGCCTGTGTGAGCCGAGGGGTTGGGCTGTGGGTGAGATAATGTGTGAGCCAGAGCCTGCTGGGCGTGAAAGTGGAGCAGAGGATTCAGTGAGGGGTGTATGTGTGTGTGTGTGTGTGTGTGTGTGTGTGTGTGTCCCGAGGGTAGGGAAAGCTGGGATAAATTTGGGTGTGTCGATAACAGTGGCCCAAGCAAAAGCAGTGTGTTGCCCTCTTAACTAACCAAGTCTAAAAGGCAGCCATGGAGGGCCATGCTGCTCCTGTCTTGGCCCATCACGGTCCAGGCCTCCCTCCCCCAGCAGGAAGTACTCCCTGAGCCTCTCTGAGGAAGCAGCCTGGAGGGCTCACACAGGGTGTCTCCTGTCACGGGTGTTTTCCCAGGACAGCTGTCTGCAGTCACTTCCCTGTTCCCATGGAACCCCATCAGAGTAGCCCCTCTCTCTGGGTCTCACGAAGATGGAATGGTCGGGGAGGGCACAGAGGCGTGGTGCATCCCCATAGCGTGAAGCAGAACACTGGACTAAGAGTTGGAAAGTCTGGGTTTCTGGTGCTGGTCCCGCTGTGTGACTAGAGAAGTCCCTTCTCCTCTGGAACTTCGCTGAGACATCAACCACATGATCCCCTAAAGTCTGACCTCTTAGAATGCAAAATAGCCCTTGGCTATCAGCCTGCAGGAGTGTTCCCCCACCCCCACCCCCACTCCCCTTGTAGGTAAGGCCAAGAAGATAGGGCGTGGAGATTGTGGAGGCTGAATCCATTCACACAGCCAGTGGACATGGAGCTTCTGCCCTGTGCCAGCCCCTGGCTACCACATACACCGGCTCCAGCCACTTGTCTCTCACCCCAGAGCCAGACCACAGCGGGCCTGGATGAACCATTGCCAGGCAGATATAATGCCAGGACAGCATACACTCTCCTGTGCACAGCCTCAAACTGAGTGAAAGCCAAATGTGAACCAGACTCCACACCAGCCCCAGGCTCAGAACCCACCAGTGACTTCCAGGGACCCACAAAGTTAAGCCCAGACTCGAGTGGATTCCTAGACCCCAAATCCTGCCGCTCAGCCACCTCCCACCCTCCCCTCTGCCCTCCCTCTCCATCTCACCTGGCCCTGGTACACTCCCACCACTGGCCTGGGTACCCCTTCATACTATTGCTCATTTGTCTGGGCATGGTCAGGAGGATGCCATGTGCTCCGGGCCTGGAGGAAGGAGTCCGGGAGGGAATTTAAATGAGGCAGGCAGGGCACTGGGAAGGTGCCTCTATGGACTGGAGGTCCTGACCTTGAACTGTGCCTGAGCGGGTGGTACGTGGGAGCTGAGGTCTAAGGAAGGATCCCTTCTGTCCACCTTCCTTAGGTGTGGGGCATCCCCAGAGAGTAATGGACTCACAGAAAGGTCCAGGAAGTGACTCAACACTGCCCATTCAAGGAACTGTATTTCAATGCATAAGCAACATGGGAGTTACTGTGGGCAGAGCCTGGGATGCCAGGGTCTAGAGTGTACTTCATTGTGAAGCTGGTGACATTAAATGCTGAAGTGTCAGCAATATGGAGGGGTGATTGGATGTCCTACCTCACTCTTGGCCCAAGAACCACTGACCCCCCCACCCCCCGCTGAGGGGAGCCTTCCTCCCCTCCCTCCACCCCAGCCCTGTCCTTACAAGAACAGTTACGCCCTTATCCATCCTTTGTATCCATAGCAGTCAGCACAAACTTCAACTCCAGGCCTCATTCCTGGCACTGAAGTTGATAGCCTCAGGAGTCCTGTAATGACAGGGCCCTTGGACGTGGCCATTCCTTTGCCTTTCCAGAAGCTTGTGAAAGCCCTGCCTCGGGGAATGCGAGTCAGTGCTGTCCTACTTATTTCCTGCTTGCAGGCCTCGCAGGGGTCACCTGACCTGCCTTGGTCATCAGTCCATCAATAGAACAATCTTTACCTGGAGTAGATGGCGTCAGGAACAAGGGATTGCGGCATCAGGATTGCGGCATCATGGGGCGGGGGGGCACTCAGAGTCCCACCCCGTGTTCCGAGTCCTTGCACTCTTTCATGCTCACAGCAGTCCTGCAAGGTGGGACTCTCACTGGGCCTATTTTGCAAGTGTGAAAACGGAGACTCGGAAACCTTACCTAGATTTCCCCCCAAGGTTATGTGGCCAGAATCAGCAAGGCCAGGGGCCAAAGCAGGGAACCCTGGCTGTTAACATTCCATCTTAGCTACTGTGGTGTGTTCAAGCCTACCTTGGCCTCAGCTACAGAGAGGATTTCAACCCTCCCTGCCCCTGACTGGCCTCTTCTTGCTGTATGCCACAGGACTTCCTTATGGGCTGAAGGTTCCTGGGAGAATGGTTCCTTATGGAGCCCTCCTAGTTTGGGAGGCCCAGACGCTAAACCTCTCTCCACTGCCAAAGGCTCTTGCCCTGTTGTGCTGTCTGCCTTGAGCGTTTGACAACATCTAGATGAATCATCCCAGGGGACTCTAGGCAAGGAGAGAGGCTGGAAGCCAGGTTCCCATCTGCCGTGGACTTAACATCTGTCAGGATGTTCCCAAAGCAGAGGAGCTCCGTGACACTGTCCTTCTGTCTGTTCTGGAGCCTTGCTATTGGGCCAGGCATGGTTCAGGATGTGATGCCCACCCCCTCCCTGGGACCAGCAAAGGACATGTGGCTGTGGGGAACAATAGGATCAAGAACACTGGAGAATCTGTAAAGGATTTTTCACAGTGCAGGCAGGTGGGGTAGGAGGTGTAATCCTGCCTGGTCTTTTATTTGCATCAGGCTGTTTGTTAGGCACACATAGTAAGAGCAGGAGCTGCCCTGTCCTTAGGCAGTCAACCAAGGATCCAGGGATAGTGGCCGAATGAGTATGATGGGAAATGAGCCAGGTTCTGGTCCTGTCTGACATTCACTGGCTCTGTGGGCCTGAGCTTCAGTTCATTCATACTTCCCCCTCCCTCCTTTCTTCCCTAGTTCCATTTTTCCCTTCACTTATCTTTTGAAACAAAATCTATGTAGCCCAGGTTGCCTTCAAACTGGCAATCCTCCTGCCTCCACCTCCCAAGTACTAGAGATATACCACACCTGCTCAGCCCATTTCTTTAGTTTAGCATCAGGGAAATTAGACTAGTTGATCCAGGAAGCAACTGTGCTTTCTGGGAAAAGAGCTCAGCTTTTCGACAGCCTAGACTACCTGGGTTAAAATCCCAGCTGGGCTTCCCCTAAGTCCATGACCTTGAGCGGGTTACCCAATCCAAGCTCTGTCATAGTCGAGCTCTCCTCCTATTGAGACTTCAGATAAGATGTTGCAATCTGTTTGACACACTGTAACAGCAGTTTCTCTTTCCCGGTTATCAAAGCAGTGAAACTTTGTCCTACAATTACAGAGGGCTTCCTCCGCCTTGGTGAGAAGTCCTCCTTCCTTCTGCACCCAGGCAGCTTCCCAGCTTGGTAGCATCTGGTGGTTGTCATTGTTGTTGGTATCGAATTCGGAAATAGGGAAGGAACTCAAGCACATTTTGTGTGTGTGTGTGTGTGTGTGTGTGTATGTGTGTGCACTCATGTATGCATGTGTTTGAGTGTGTGCACACAAGCAGACATGCATTCATGTATGCCCAGGTACACATCTGTGCACCTGCATGTGAACAGGTATGCACCTGCATGAGTGGAGGAGGCCAGTGGTCAACTTTGGGTGTCATTGTTTATCCTTTTTTCATGGATTAGACTAGCGTGGCTAACCAGAAAGCTCCAGGGATCCTCTGGTGTCTACCTCCCCAGGGCTGGTATTACAAGCACACACCACCACACCCTCTTTTTACATGGGTGCTGATAATTGAACTGAAGTCCTCATGTTTGTATGACAAGCAGGTCATCCACTGAGCTGTCTTATCAATTCCTCAAGCAGAGCTCTTCAGTCTCTGGTCTGGTTCTAAATGTTCATTGCCTTCCACTGCTTATGGTGGGCAGGTGGCACAGCCGCCCACTGAGCCCCTCAGCAGCCCGGAGACCACCCGGTAGTTAGTACGGGTGTCATAGAGAAGACAGCAGTATCCAGATAGCATTCCCACAAGGGTCCAAGCTGAAAATACCAGTGAGGCGGACTTTGGATCCTGCATGAGGCGCCTCCCAGGTATTGCCTGACTCAGACTCTCAGAGGCGGAGATCTGGTGTGGATTCCCACCTGACAGGACTGTGCCTGGAATGGGATCTGGCACCAGCAGATCAGCCTCCAGTGTCCCCTCGGCCGACCCGAGTGGATGGAAGATCAGATGGCCCAGGCTGGCAGGACAAGGAGATGCCAGCACGGTGACCCAAGGAGGGATTTCCTGTCTGGAGGAAGTGGGAGTTAAGCCAGGCTGACTCACCTTCCTTCTAAGGCTCTGGATGAGGAGGAGCCTCGTGGAACCTTTTTCACCAGCCGAGCCTCAGTTTCTCTCTTCTAGGAAATCACTCTCCACATTCCCATCCCCACTTGTTGCATTTATGATAAAGTCATTGTATAAAGTAATTTCTAGTAAAAGTGCAAGAGAGATCGCTTGTAGAGTTACAGTATGAGTAATATCCACAACAGTATAGAAGAGGATCAGCCAGGAGTGGTGGCCCACGCCTTTAATCCTAGCACTCGGGAGGCAGAGGCAGACAGATCTCTGAGTTCAAGGCCAGCCTGGTCTACATAGTGAGCTCCAGGACAGCCAGGGCTAGGTAGAGAAATCCTGTTTCAAACAAAACAAAGATGATGGGCACTTGTCCCAGGTCATCGGTGACATTTGCTGGTCGCTCCAACGATGACAGTAACCTCTGCTTGTGGTGCTAAGTACTAACGTGCCAGGTACGAGAGCTGTCACAGTGAGGCCTGGAAAAGCCTGGGGCAGCTACTGTATACAACAGCCTGGTGGTGGGACCCTCCGCCTCCCTGCCTATGTCTAGAATCCCAGGGAATACCCTGACCTTGTTCCCCGAACACTTGGATCCAAGCAGTTATACAGTACGCTCTCAATGGAGGGGGCTCCTGATGAGGCAGCCCAGGGTACAAGTGCTGAGCAATGAAAAGCCCAGGGATGCATCTCCCAGTGCCAGGGAAGAGCCATAGGCATAGGGACCAGGAAGGTTCCCAGCCATAGTGGCTGAGGCCAGCGTGCCCCCATGGCAGGAGGCGTCACAGATTGAGACCTCTTCTGACTGGGACCTACTCACTTCCTTCTCCCCTCAGGAACAGAGTTAGGAATGTAATAGGCGAGAAGGGCAAGGTGCTTGGGATAGGGGTGGGGTGGGGGGCGGGGTGCAGGAGGATGTAGCAGAGGGTTCTAGCTGCAGCCAGCCTGCAGTCACACTGTCTGAGGCTCTGCTGCCTCTTCCTGCTCCAGCCTCCCTCATGCATGCAGTGAGTCAGAACAGGAAGGCGCTCTGGGCCCATTGGTCGTGCCATGAGTACCCCCATGGGGAGAGGGGAAGTGGGGGGGGGGAAGGTAAGCCATTCCAGCCTTGGAAGGCAGCCACAGCTGCAGCCGGCTGCTTCCACCCCACAGTCTCTGATGGAGGTGGGGTGGGGCAGGGGCCAGGCTGACTGCAGAATACCCAGGGATGTTCTGAGGCTCTTCCCAAAAGCTAAAGAGTGCCATAGAGAAAGCTCTGGAATGGGTGCTTGTCAAAAGTATAGTCCCTCCCCCATGGTGCTCTGCCCAGTGGTCTCGGGACCCTGCCCGACCCACTCTGAATTAGGACACTGAGGTACCTACTGAGGGGAGATGTCAGTGCCAGAAACAGGTGCTGCCTTTTTTGAGATGAAGGTCTGGTGAGTGAGAGGGTTCATTTTGTCAATTTTCCAGAAAGCTGTGGAAACATTCAGGGTGTGATCTTCGAAGTCACGGGTATACATGGAAAAGAGAAGCAGTTTCCTAGGGCAGGGGAAGGAGGTGTCTTGGGGGAAGGCACTGGGACAGTAGCCAGGCCCGTCCTCCCCAGGACTGGTCTGGGGCCCTCACTCCAGCTGGTCTCCATCGTCCGCCCTTCCCCCTCAGGACGTGAAGATCTTCCGAGCCCTGATCCTGGGGGAGCTGGAGAAGGGGCAGAGTCAGTTCCAGGCGCTCTGCTTTGTCACCCGGCTGCACCACAATGAGATCATCCCCAGTGAGGCCATGGCCAAGCTCCGGCAGGTGAGCACCCACCCCAGGCTTGCCTGGCCAGGCCCTGACCCAGAACCCCCACCTCTGCGGTCACCCTGTCCTCATTCAAACTTGGCCTCTCTCCCATCCTGCTCTTCCTCGCCACACTCTCTCGACACCCTCCTCACTGAGAGTCCTGATCCCCTGATTTTGCTCCAGGCCAGACTGACTACAGAGCCCCAGATCTTTAGTCTGCACTGAGCCCCAACTCTCAGGTCACCCCAAGCTGCTGGCCCAGGTCCCACCTCCTTGTGGGTGGAGAGAGGAGCATGACTCTGAAGAGGGATTGATATCACCTCTCCCCATGTCCCTCATTAGCTGGTGACACTGGACCAATGACCTTGCCTTTAAAGCCTCAGTGTCCTCATTGAGGATGCAGGAAAGAATCAGAACACACCTGTGAGAGTGTGTCAGACTGTTTTCAGCCTTTCGACCCACTGACCTGCCTGGATCCCTCCCTGGAGTTGCAGCTTCCCATAGCCCATCTAGGCTGACCGGGGTAGCAGGCCTGCCTGGTGGTATCTTCCCCTCCAGGGCCCTTACCCTTTGCCTGCCCTTCTTGGAAAGACTTAGTTCCTTGCATTCAGAAAGCACATGACCCACACTGTCATGTACCCCAGAACAGCTTGCCTAGGCTACCTACCCCTAGCCTGTCTCCCAGCTGCATCTTGCACTTACCAATCAGCAAGCCCTAAAAGTTAGTTCTAAGGACAGCCACTCATGAGTAGAGAAGCCAGAAAAAGCCTTAACTGCCCTTAGGGCATCAGTTTTTCAGGGGTTGGGGCTAGGTGCCTCTCCACTGCCTTGGGCTCCATGGACCTGAGATCAAGGAGGGCATGATAGGAGATATTCCCATCTTGTACCTACAGAAAAACCCCCGTGCCGTGCGGCAGGCTGAAGAAGTGCGGGGTCTGGAGCAGTTACACATGGACATCGCCGTGAACTTCAGCCAGGGGGGCCTGCTGAGTCCTCATATCCACAATGTATGTGCAGAGGCCACTGATGCCATCTACACCCGCCAGGAAGATGTCCGGTTCTGGACGGAGCGAGGTCAGCTGGGGGCTGCCCTGGGTGGGAAGAGGGAGGAGCCCTTGGACTGAGTGACTCTTCGCTGTGTTCAGGAGAGAGTTACTGAGTCCCTTCAGGGACGGACCACACAGGCACGCCCAGTATGGACATCCAGTTGCTGCAGCTGGTAGTGGGTAGATCTGTACAGCACCAGTTAAGTGTAAGCGTGTAGTCATGAGTGACAGGCATTCTCAGGGGAGGGTGAGATCCCCCAAGGTAGGCTGTGATATGTCAGGAAGGCTTCTGGAGGAGGTGGTGCCTGTGTAGCTAGAATGAGAAAACTCACAAAAGACAGCCTGTCAGGTCCTGTGAAAGGAGCCGTCTTTACATTCTTGTCACTACCCATAGTGAGGACACAGATGCTCCTGCTAGCATGTCTGCTGGCACCTCTCAGAAGTCAGCATCTCACCATTCCTGGTTGCCAGCATCTCTCCCAGAATCCTTAGGGCCTCCCCCCAGCTCTGCAGGACCCCTCTGCCACTCTGCTGGCCCTTCTCCAGGTCCTGTGTGGAGAAGGGACGAGGAGATTCAAGCTGCTTGCTCCTGGGGCCTTCTGCTCAGCCAGATGCATAGAGAGAAGCCTGCCCCTCCCAAAGCAAGGCTGGACTTTGTGACCATGCCCATTACACACCTTTCTCCACCAGACCACACCCCAAATAAAGGCCTGACGCCAGCACCCCCAGAAGCTGTTCCTTTCCATGACCGCTCAGCAGAGCCCTGGTCAGGCCTCTGTCACCTGCTCAGCATTTATCATGCATGTTGTTCTCATGTCCATCCTCATTCTGCTTCTGCTGTCCCATCCCCACCCTGCCCACTCAGGTGACATCCTTTAGGTAGTTTTATTTAAAGCATTGGTGGCCATATGGCCCCGGGGTAGGCTGTGAAATCAGACATCCTGGTTTGGGTCCTGACCTTGTCAGTAAACTTCTCTGGACCAGTTTTGAATCCCTGGCACACAGTTGAGACTCAGTGGATGAGGATGACTGTGATTTTGTGTATCCCATTAGCCTTGCCTCAGGCCTGGGTCTCACCTCTGTGTCCGTCCCCAGGGTGGCCTTGGGAGGGGTGACAGGAGAGAAGGTTGTTCCGGACTATAGACGTTCCTACTTTCTTCATGCTTGTCTCTTCCCCCAGGTGTGGACAGTTCTGTGTTCGAGGTTCTGCCCAAGGAGCAGGTGGAATTGCCCCGCTGTGGGCAAGTGAGGGACCGAGGGAAGCCTTGTGCCTGCCGCTACAGCCTGAGCCTGGCCTGGTACCCTTGCATGCTCAAATACTGCCACAGCCGTGACCGGCCAGCACCCTACAAGTGCGGCATCCGAAGCTGCAGGAAAAACTACAGCTTTGACTTCTACGTACCTCAGAGGCAGCTGTGCCTCTGGGATGAGGACCCCTAGCAGTGGGGAGCAGAGAACCAAGGAGAGCTGCTCGGGCCCACAAGTTTTTCACCGGCCACCAGAGGGCGCTAGCAACCCTGTCTGGGGCCTTAGGGCCCTTCCTGTGCCTCTGAGGTTGAAGCCAGGGGCTCATCTGCATGACTGTGAACGGGTGTCACCCAGCACGGACAACCTTGGGCAGCCCTGATGCCTACCTGTGCCCATCTGGGGGACTGAGAGGGATCAGCCCTTCTCCAGACTGGTACCCTCCCCGCTTCCTGTCTCCTGAAATGTCCCACATACATGCAATCAAAGATGCACCAGCCTTGGCTTCTTTTGTGGGATTTGTACCAGGGCCGTGTGCTCCTGCATCGTACCTTCCCATCAGCGAGGCGACCGTTGACCCGAGAGGGACTTCTGGGGTCTCATGCCCTAGCTCCCATGTCTGAAGTGCCTTCTCTCTGCCCCGGAGGCAACAGGGATCCGGGAAACTGCTGCCCCTGAGACTGCCACGTGTGCCTTTCCTGGGACCCAGCTTCCAGCCTCCAAGTCTTCCTCCCTTTGGACTGAAGTACTTTGGACAGGTTCTGGGACAGGAAGGGAGCATGAAGTACAAGGAAAACTTGAATTCCAGATTTTTAATACAAAATATTTATCATTTGTACCAGAAATAAAAGTGTTTTAAAGTTTTCACTCACCTAATGGCGCTAGCCTAGGAGATCCGAGAGAACTTTTGTCCAATGCTGCCACCTAGTGTCAGAAATGTGCCTCTACACAATTAGTGCCAGTCTGGGCAAACCAACTTCAAAAGCTCCTATTGTGTGCTCTGTGAGAGGCTCTGTGCTTGAGATGATGAAACAAGAGGACCGGGAAGGCTCAGTAGTTAAGAGCACTTGCTGCTCTTCCAGAGGACCCAAGTTCAATTCCTAGCACCCACTGTGAGGGTGGGGAGGTTCACAGACACCCGAAACCCCAACATAATGGGGATCGGCCACTTTTTTATGGCCTCCAGTACTCCCATACATTAAAAAAAATCTTGGGGCTAGAGCAGTGGTTCTCAACCTCCCTAATGATGTGCAGTTCCTCATGTTGTGGTGACCCCCCC